TACTTTAATTTTTACTTAACCTGTCTTTTCTGAACCGGATAATACTTTTTAATCTAAGCTCTTGTGAAAACATTTAGACAATAAATGTTTGACCTACCTTGCTAATTTAAGCAACTTTCATAAGAATTATTTTAATATGTGATAATCCTTATGTTTATCTAGATTAATAATTACAATGAAATTTAATACTATCAGGTTTAGATACACAAATTTCCTTAATAGTTTGTTAGAAAGTATGATACAAATTTTTTATAATTGAAGCTGAAATAACCAATTCATTTTAAATCAGATAATCTAAACGTCTACTCACAAAGTAGTAATGTGTATTTATACAAAGATGTTTCAACTTGTCATGGATTCTAAATGAGTCTTTAAAAAAGAGCTTCTAATCAACCTTGTTTTATAGCAGGTGATGTTATTGACTTCTGCTGTATTGGTAATACATTTTTGGTGGAAGCATTTTACTATTACATGGCAGAACACTTAATATTGCCTTAAATATTCAACTTGGCTTAATAAACAGCAGAAACCTGTGGAATCGATAGCACATTAGTCAATCCTTTGCAGAATTAAGATATACTGAGAAAATGGATAAAAGAAACAGTTCATCTTTCTGCAAACAGCAAGGAAGTACACAGAAGAAACAGTTCATCTTATTGCAAACAGTGTAATCAAAGAACAGAAAATCTTATCCAACATTTCAAATCCCAGTTATTTATTTACATTTTTTCTTCAGCTATAAAAATCTCATTTTACACTGACTTTGTACTGACAGAGTGCATGCAGTATTTTGTCTTCAACACAAGCATTCTGAAAACAATGTGATACAGTTCCACAGGAAGGATCCTGGAACAGAAATTCCTTTCTAATTTCACCCACTTCCAATAGTCAAAGCAAAGTCATCTCTTTATTCTTTGTATTAATACACAAATATTACCAGTCTAGATAACCCAATTCTGTATGTACTAGATCTACTTTTTAAACTATATAGTTGCTCAAATGTAACATTCATAATTATGTAGTTAACATGATGTCAAAGCATCTAGATCCTTCCCAGGTATTTTTATTAGCATGATTTTACAGTCACTTTTATTTTATAACCTTCATGGGAAAAGCAGATTAGACCTGTCACGATAACATAATTATTATACCATTGATATACACACACACACACACCACACATGGCATTTCATCAATACTCTATATGCACTTCTTATTGGCCAAACTGAAGGGAAGAATAACCAATCAATAAAGCAGGAAAGGAACGCCTCCTAAATATTCCTATCATAGCAATTTTTAATTAGTCATTTCCATCACTAAAGGTTGATATTCTGTTGCTTTTATGGGGGAGAAATAAAGGCTTTATGTAATCCTTATGCAAACATACTGACATGCAAGTGGCCAAAATATATATATTTTAAATGAAAATTATATCATGTTTACATGTCTTCTCATATCTTAGAAAAATACTAATGTTAATGAGTTTGTACTATATATGTAATGCTACTGAAAACAATTTTCATGGACTAATGGACCAACTGGCATATATATAAAAAAAAAAATACCAACTTTAGGCAAAGTTCTACAAAAATATAATTGTCAACTTAATTACAATGTATAGTAATATTAAAGCAATGCTAATGTCTTAAATTGTCATTGTGAGGTGTCATATGTAAAAATATTAATGCAGGTATGCCCTTTGAAAATTCATAAATTATTATACAATTCAAAGTTATAAAACCGCTAACTGACAAGCTATAGTACTTCTGTTAAAAAAAAAAAAAAAACATAATTATGTTATAGAAAGGTATTTAAATATTCCCAAAATACATATACTTACTTGCCAATTTTTAAAATGACAATCCAATTTTTTTCTTTAAACCTAATAGATATATGCTTGGGGTGTGTGTGTGTGTGTGTGTGTGTGTGTGTGTGTGTATGTAGATTTTTTGAACTTGAAATAAGTCAGTACTTCAGACCATAAAATCATTTCACCCAAAAATACATTCACAAATATGCCTTCTAAATAAAATATTTAAAAGTTCACTAACCTAAGCAACTCAACAAGTCTCCAAACATTCGAAGATTTTTCTCCTTTGTGGTTTTATTTTTGGTGTTTCCTCTACCATGGAGGTAGTCCTTATCACATTAGCAAAATACAATTTCCTAGGCCATAGAAACTATTTTTATACTTACATTGTGTATAAAAGAGCCTGAATATTTTAGACACTCGAGAATCACTGATTAAACCTTTTTTAAACATTAAATTAGGTATAATCTTGTAAAATAAAATACCTAAATTCAGATGTATAGATAAAATATTAAGTTACACCTAAACCTAAATTAAAACAAAAGTAGACTTAAAAATGTGCTTGCATGTTAATTTATTGTCACAGTCATTATCACGATTCCAGAAGACCCAACTTAGCAAGGTAGTAATCATACACAAGGTGATCAATAATCGTGTTAAAAACTTGTATTTTAGTTTGAATACTGAAAATTTTGTGTCTTATAAATTTAAGAGACAAGTAGAATAAACATTATTTACCTGAGGGATAGTAGAGAAAAAATGTGTTCATTTTGCACATAATTTCCTCTGAAAATATTGAGAAAAATTTTGATATATCTTGAAGAAATTTTCCACAGCAAATAGAATTATCGGAAGATATATATATTCTATAACAAACCTATCAAGTTGTATTTAAAATAAAAGACTCTAAATATTGAAACCAGCATGAACACATCTACATTCCTATTGCACAATCAATAGCATATAATCTAGCAAAACTTTATAAAACATTTGTGCACAAATGTTTCGTTGAATGTCATAGTCCCAAATAAAATCAAAGATGGCTGATCTTCATTTTTTTAGTCACAAAGTTCTAACTTTCTACTCTCTTTTCTCACTTAATTTTAACTAACATATAAATTATATATGGTAGGTAATCATAAAAGGAATAAACTTCATTGAAAGTTAGCAAAGGTGCTACATGCAATGAATATTTTATTTTCTTTGTCACAGCAGGGATGATTCTTTGGTTCATCCTCTCTCTTTCTCTATCCCCCAAATTTTTCCCCTCACTTTTTCTCTTTATGTTCACATATTCATGCATCTAGCCATTCATCCATCTATTCATCAAACCAATCCTTCCTAAACACAGAAAAAACCATCAAAGCCAAGCCACTGTGCTCTTTAACAAATTATTTAGTG